TTTAAAAAAAAAAAAAAAAAATTCCAGATTTCAATCTTAAAGAAGGCCAATAAATTATGGACGAATGATTCAATTCATTTACGTAAATTTCTGTATATTCCAATTGATCAATGTTCTATCATTGATGATGAAACAAAAGTAGTTATTCAAGATGACCATATTTCAATTAAAACAAATAGATCATTTTCAGATAATATAATAAGACCATCATTTTCTCCTACTTCAAAGACTCCTTTTACAATTTATGAAAGAGAATTATTATTTTGTACTTTACCAGAACATGCGAATTATGTTAATGGTAATCATAGTAATCATAACCATAATTTTCATTTAAGACAAAGTTCACACGAATCTACCTCAAATTCTTCAATATGGTCAATTACTTCTTCGTCTAGTTCTATTTCTTCTACAACTTCTAATAATAGTGCAAATAATTTTACAAGAGCGGAAATTCAGCAATTACCCGCTGACCAATTAACTTACTTTCCATCAAAAAGAATAACTTCGTCTCCTGTTTCTTCACCAATACCAAATACTCCTTTAACAACGCCAACATTACCATCACCATCACCTGTATCTCATTTAAATCGTCATAAACAACATTGTAATATATCATTACCTTTACCAACAATGAGACAAGATTCTACTCGAAATTCTAATCTAGATAATATTGTAAAAGACAGAACTAGACGTGATATTTTGAGTAACAGTTATAACACCGAAATATTATCTTCTCTTAATAAAGTTTGTAGTAAAAAAGATCCTCGCTTCGTTCCCCCTACTTTTATTAGAAACTCTAAACACATATAAATAGAAATTTTATTTATTATTTTCAGGTAAACAATTTTATAATGTAAATATCTAATTTAGAATTAGAATATTGTAATTTTATTGTTTGATGATAATAAGATTTAATTTCAATTCTTTTTTTTTTTTAAATGATAAATCTCTATATTATAAAAATTATATCAATTATTTCTATATTTCCTTTATAACAAACTAAATTCAATAAATTTAGACCCCCATTTCATTAATTACAAAGTCTCGTAATACTTCTAGAAATTCCGTTATTTATTTTCATGTCTATGGTTGCTTCTTTATAAATTCTGTAGTTTAAACAAAAATTAATTTGTCATTAAACAAGTAGTTAAACATAATATTTCTATATGATACATTTATATGTCAGAAATTGTTTTTAGAAGTACCTCTTATTACAACTATAATTGTCAAAATTGTTATTTTTTTTTATTTTTCGTGTTTGCTTAACAGTAAAATTTCTAGTGTAGATTGATATTTGTGTAACTAATAAGGACGCCCGGTAATTTTTTAATTCCGGCAATTTGTAACGCCTTGGTAGCTCTACGGTAAAGCTGGAATTTCGACTTATTTAAAAATGATACCCCGGATAGTAGTGAAGAATCTGACGTCACAGCAAATTAATTTAGAACTGAAATTATTAACATGAAATCTACTTATCTCACTTTCTATTAAAAGTTCGGTAAGAATTTTTATGCATGAGCTTAAAACTTTTTTTCGATTAACTTAATAATTAATGAGTGAGATTATTTGATTTATTCATGCTGGCCAATTGACCAGTATTATATGTAAAAATACTAAAATTGTTAAAAACTAAGTCAAATACAATTTGTTGAAATTGTTATACTATAAAGATGTCTCTAATATTGACCATTTTAACATGTCTCATTATGATAATCAAATGCAGTTTATCATTGCCCTATGATTGGTTTGAATATAATAAGAACCAATTATTCAAATTTAGTAATCAACTTTTATGAGCAAGATGTAAAGTAATTTGTTCATCATTAATACAAAGTCCGGCTTTGATTTGTTGCAAATGCATTCTTAAATCTATGCCCATTATTGTAATCTTTATTAAAATGAGTTCATCATCAGAATTATTTAACGACCTTTGAATTGGTGTAAGAGTATATCGTCCAAATGCATGATTAACAATATAAAGCTGACTAATTTCTTCTTTGTTATGTTCTTGCGTTAACCAAATAAAACCTTTTAATCGATAAATATCATTATTTGAAAGGGACTCAAGAAAGGTCTCAAAATGTTTTTTTGTATAGGGAGAAATTAATGAATACGATTGACGGGTCATTATGACTTGAATCAAATCAATTTCATTTTGATGATGATTTTCAATTCTTGGATCGATAAGCTCAGAAGATTTAGCTGCTAAATCAAATAATTTTGTATCAATTCCAAATATAAGATCTGGCGAAACGCCATTTTTACCTTCGCATTTAATTTTAGGTGTATCGGTATTAAGATCATTTATATGGTCAATAACTATATCAAGTTCATGTTCGCTTACCTATAAGAATCAACAGATTAATAAGCTATTTTTACATGTTAATAATAAACCTATTCAAGTTTAAAAAAAAAAAAAAATACCAATTCATGCTTGTTAAGTAAAATTATATCTGTATATTGAGCTTGCATCTTAGCTGTATAACTCGTGTCCTCATATCCACGAAAATTTATACAATCGACTACTGTTATAATACTATCTAATGTGAATCCTTCATTTTTCATTTCACGGATTTGCCACGCAATAGGTGCCGGAAATGCAGATCCACTACATAATTGAAATTAATTATATAACTCGGTTATCTTATGAATAATCTCATTGTCTTTACCTTGTCTCAATAATTATGCGATCAGGATTATATTTATCTTTAAGTTCCATTAAAGCCAATTTCATTTGACCGACCAACACACAGCATAAACAACCATTTAGCATCTCTTGCACTGCAAGGTCGCTACCTTGTGCCAATGAGCTATCCACTTTGGTTAACAGTTAAATATATTAATAATTTTTAAGAACTAGAAAAAGTTTTTAATAGACTTTTTTACCTTTTACATCGCCAAATTCATTCTTTAGCAAACAAAGTTTATATCCTTTTGGAACACGCGGTAGTAACGAAAGAATTATTGAAGTTTTACCAGCACCTAAAAATCCTGTAAATACTGTTACAGGAATTGGAGAGTTTTGGATCTGAGAACTAGTTTGCATTTTGTCCTAAAACTTCGTGATCTTGTATACATTTAAAATTATTCGTTTAATGTCACACAAAAAAATGGAAAAGGAATTCGGCCGCATTAAACGGACTCTAGCCATTTCCCATGTGTAACGCATCATGCATTACTTTCTATTCGTCCATTATTTTTACTCCACAAAAACACGTTAAAATTTAAGCAAAATTTTGTGAGAAGTTTAAACAACTTTGAAATATTGATTATACATAATCCAAGCAAAATCATGAGTAATACTTCCGGAGGTCCAGATTTTGTCAAGAAGCTCTTCAAGTAAGATAATATATACATTTTCTACAAGTCCTATCAGATTACCTAAAATAAAATCTTTTTAAGCAAAAACTGTAGCAATGCGCGATTTTGTAACATATTTCTTCCTCATAAATTCAATTCCGATCGATTATTAACATTTTAAACTTTTTCTGATTTTTAAGAATGCTGGAGGATGAATCTTATAGTGATATTGTATCATGGGGAATAAATGGAGACAGTTTTGTGGTTAAGGTATATATAAAATCACATATATTCAAGTTTGATTTAAAGCTAACCTTTTAATATTATAAAATAGGAAATTGACGCATTTACGAAAACAATTTTACCTCGACATTTCAAACATTCAAACTTTGCAAGTTTCGTTCGGCAGCTTAATAAATATGATTTTCATAAAATCAGGAATTCTGACGACTCAAATTCGCCATATGGAGAACAGGTATTAATAATGTTTTTTGTAAATATAAGTGGTTTAGAATTAATACTTACTTTTTTACTTGATTTTCTATTAGGCTTGGGAATTCCATCATCCAAAATTTCAATGTGACAAAAGAGATCAATTAGACAATATTAAGGTACCGAAATGTTTGAATCCATATAAATTAATAGCAGGAATTAATAGCAGGAATTAATTTAAAAATTTTTTTTTTAATAGAGGAAGACGCCAGCTAATCAGAAAAAACTAGTATCCAACACTGTTAACGATATTTCAAATATGACACATATAACTGAACTCCAATCTCAAGTTAATAATTTAACTAAATTGCAAACGAATATGAATGATCATTTACATGCTTTAAGCAAGAATTATCATTCGGTAATCCAAGATTTGATAAATTTCCAAAAAAATATGATTGCGCAAGATCAGTTAATGCAGAATTTGGTGCAATACTTGGTGAATTTGGAAGCAGGTGGGACAAATTTTTATAAATCCTATTTTAAATGTAACAAAAATATTTACACTTGTTAATTCTCATAAAGAAAAATCTGGAAGTTATAATAATGGTCATCATTCAAGCACGTCCGGCGAGAACATGACGACTCCATTTATTCCTTCAGATCAAGCTCAAAAACTTATTAACTCATACACTGAAGTTGCCCGTGCTTCTTTTGATCAGATGAATGAGATTTCTCGTCGAGCACAATCAATACATCATATTGCAAACAGCGAAATGAACAATTCCGGTTCATCCTTGTCAGATTCTAGCGCAATTACGTCGAATGAACCTTTAGAATTATTGACATTACGATCAAATCTTTCTGATGACAATATTGGAAATATAAACACTTCTGCTTCATCAGAATCAGTATCGCCGAAAAATTATATTTCTCCCCAATCGATTTCAGTTGCATCTCAGTCTGCAGAAACAATTAACATATCGAATGAATATTCACAAAATATCTCTGACACAATGATAAATTTGCAACCTTCAGATAACGGTCTTACTGTGCTTACTGTGGGTCACTTAACACCGAGACAGTCACAATCGTCTCCATTACCTATTGCTATTTCAAATAATAATGGTAATTCTAGTATTCCACATATTGATAATACCTCTCCGCAGAGAGCCTCAAATACTATGCGTGTTCACCGCAGTACTTTTGTGCCAGCATGGTCTGTCCCTCCTAAAGTTCTTCTTGTTGATGACGATGCCGTCTATCAAAATATCGGTTCTAAGTTTTTACAAGTTTTTGGTTGCGCTATTGATATCGCTGTTGATGGAATAAGTGCTGTTAATAAAATGAATTTCGAAAAATATGATCTTGTTTTAATGGTAATCCTTTAATTTTTTAACTTATTATTTATAAGCAAATATGTATATTAAGTTTTTTTATTTTTATTCTATTTTTTAAAATTTTCAGGATATTGTATTGCCAAATTTAGATGGTAATACTATTTAATATTGTTATATTTGATATTTCATAATTACTTCGATTTCGTATATTAACGTTTGTATTTATCATGTAGGTGTTGAAGCAACGACTCGGATAAGAAGATTTGATCCTAACACTCCTATTATAAGTATGACTTCTAACACAACTAAGCAAGAATGTATTAAATATCTTTCTCATGGAATGAACGACATTCTTGCCAAACCATTCACAAAAGCGAATCTTTTATCGATGCTAGAAAGATATTGCATGCATTTAAAGGTCATGCCAAATTTCCAAAATATCCCTAGGCCTCTGGGAACTGCTGACCGACCAATAGCAACTATACCCAATAATAGCTTGATCTCTTCAGACTTGACTGATGATAATCTTAGTGAAAATTGGATATCAAATTCATTAGCTATGGCTGGAGATAATTCATATCCTTTTACAGTTTTGAGCGGTGATGACTATATGCAAATGGTGAGCAATGTAGTTAACACTTCTAATAATGGAACTCGTTATTTGGAAGGCAATGATGATAATCAAAATCAACGGTCTAGAAAGAAGCCAAAGTTTGAATTGGTTGAATAATTATAATTAGTCTAAATTCAGATTAGCTTCTTTTTTTTTTTTTACTTTATATTTGTAAATATTTATACTTTCTTTCTAGGTTTCTTTCCTTTTTTCCTTTCTTTTCTTTACCTTTTTTGACAAATTAGATAATGATGTTGGGGGTGTCGGGTCTGGCAGATTATTTTCAAATCCGCAGTATATATATATCACATGTAAACCTAATTTAAACCACAATTAACGATATTTTATTATTATTTTATTATTATTTTCATGGGTTCCTAAATAATGAAATAAAAGGGACTTAATTTGCTAATTACCTAATAAAAAATTATCATCCTGAATGATAACGTGTAATTAGATATTTAATTTACATGTTATCACGTGATATGATTATAAGCCTTTTAACAGAAAAATTGTTATTGCACTTCTACAAAATTTAGTTTCAAATCGTTGCGTTTTTTTAAAAAAAACAAAAAAAAGATGCACCTGTCACCTTGCCCTATGAGGAATTCTATTTTTGTTGTTTCGAACCGATCGACAACCTCAAATAACCTTCCACACACTTCAACTCCATCAGAAAATTCGATTTATTATAATGGGAATCAGTCGAATAATCTTGATCGTAACTTTCCACAGGTTACTACAAGCCCTTTACAAAATTCAATATTATCAGATAGAAACCAAACCAGTACTAATTTCTTGCAACAATTACAAGTACCTACAACGTTACAAACTAACAACTCGCTGAGTTTGAGTTCTTCAACCTCTCGGTTCGTTCAATCAGCACCTGTATTGGACAGCTTCAATACACAGAACTCAATTAACACGCCTTTAAACTTAGTTCCGTCTGGTTCGGCTATTAATAGAAACAACTACGAACCGACCCACAGATGTACTACTTGTGGACATGTACACACATGTGATGATTGTAAGCATATTTCTAATATTCAGCAAGTCATCGATCCGCCAGTAAAGAAAGTTCATGAACCTATTATTATAAATACTGCAAAGGTAGGACATTGTTGCGAAGAACATATTTCAGTTTGATATGATAATTGTTCAATTTTTGATTAATCTAGGCAATGGGCAGAATTAATAGAAGAATGACGAATGGACCTTATTTCCGTCCGTATGTATTTGCTGTTTTTATTTTTTCAAAGCAATATTATAATTTTTTTAATTCATTTTTAATTATATAGTGAAAGGTCCAGGAATGTTTTAATATCCCAAGACGAAATTTTACATCGTACAATGGCTGATCCTAACTTGAATTTTACTGATATTGTTAATCAAGTTGCAAAAGAAAAGGAGCAAGAACAAGAAAAAGCTATGATTACTGGAAATTATTCACACCAGAATGGATTTCAAAATGGACATCAAAATGGACGACGGCAGGAGCGGCCTTTGATGGATTCGTCTAGTATTACTAATTATCAAAACTCACAACGGCAACAACAATCTAATTTATCATCGAATGGTTTTCAAAGTACTCAGAGTCCAACTAGTCCAATATCAACTTCAACTATTAGAAGTCAGAGCCCGGTAAACCCGACAATGGGACAACGTACTGGTTTTTCACCAACAATGGAAGGACAACCTGTTCAAGACCAAACTATTTTGCCGTCTGATTTTAGCACCCTTTTACAAGGAGGTCCTTCTTCACAACCTTCACAACCTTCACAAGAACAACTTTTAAATTCTAATGCGTAAGGATCATTATTTATTTTAAATTTGTTTATTAAAATGATCTAACGTTTTGATTTGCTTTCTAGGACAATATTAACAACACCGGATGTAACAATTATTTGTAATGAACAACCATCTTCTATTTTAACGCCCATTATAAGAGATTCTAAACTTGTCGATAATTCTTTGGGATACAAAAAGACAAATGTGCAATATGCTTCTTCACGGAAAAATATTGTTGCTTCCAAACCACGTCCTAATCCTGTGACGCCAAATCTTAAAATTAGTAATGGTGATACGCTGAAGAGTATGAAAGTTTTTTTTAGCAAATTATGGCAATTTGGTTAGTTCAAGGCCGGAGTCTAAATAGGCAAAAGAATTTTTGCGCATTAGAAATTTAACAAAGAAACAATATTATAATAGATTGTAAGCAGACACTATATTATTAAATATTATTTTCGATCAAATAATGATACATAAATAGCAAAACCAACACAATAGTTTGTTACTTAATTTTTTCTTGTAGTAATACTAGTACAAAGTAGTAAGAAATTGTATCTAAGGATTTTTTGACAATTTCATTGCACCTTCAGGTGAAAAACTAATTTCAGTATATTATCTATGCTAATAGATAATCTTAGAATTATTTGCAGAAATCGCAAAAAATAAAAGCAATTAAATTATACTTAATCGGTAACTATTTAATTTTCGGATAATTTAAGTGTATTATGGCAATTTTAAGTATATTTATTACTAAATTTCACTGCAGTTAACTTCTATCACATAAAAAAATTTTTGATTTGACCAAATAAAAAGTACTAAAAAATATGCAAAAATGCAAAAAAAAAAAAGTTTTTTGTATTAAAAATGGTTTTTTTAAGTAAATGTAAATAATCAAATTTTTTATATAAAGATTTTAATAAAATAAAATTCAAAATTTCGAAATTTTAAATTATTTATTTATAATATAATTCATTCTTTTATAATCATGTCATCTATTATTATTTTGACTGTTTAGATATTATTTATTAGAATTACAACTACTGTATTTATTTTTAAAATTACCTTTAGAAATTAAATTTGTATTCTTATTTTTTTTTTTAATATACATGTAATACTATTTATTAATGTGATTTCAATTATATTAATTAATATTAAGTCCACTGTAAATGTACCTATATATTAAAATGAATTTATATTCTTATAAAAAATTTTTAATAAATATAATTTCAAAGAAATATATATTATATATTTTATATGTTTTGCAAATTTACTTAAAGTACCAAAATTAGTTTTAAATATTAATTTTAATTTACTTAACAAATCTATTTTTATATATATATATTTTTTTATTAAATTTAATTCTAAATTTAAATTGTATTTAAACTATAAATAACCCCCTAAATTGATTTTTAAAAAAATGTAATTTTAGCAAGAATTTTAGATTTGAAATATTTTTTTATGTAAAAAAACTTAAAGTAATTATATAATTTAATATATTTTAGATTAAAAATTCAAATAATTTCAAATATAATTTAACTATTTTAAAGTCATCTAGGGTAGTTTAAATACTTAATATATAAAATTGTAAAAATACAGTATATACATGTTGTCTAAATTATTCTGAACTGCCATAATTATAAGTAAAATTTTAAATTCAATTATGGCATTCCAAATTATCTAGCATTTATATAAAAATTGTAATTATAGCATCCTAAAATAATTTAGACAGCGTTTGGATGGTAGTGAATCTGGAAAATTTACTTTATTAGCCGAAATTTAAGAAGACTTGAAAACTGATAGAACGACTGCTTGGTCTTGGTGACTATAGGTAGAATTGTAGTAGACACTATATATAGTAGATTTTGTATTTATAGAATACTAATTTTTTTTTAGTTACCCCTGTTTTGATTTTTTTTTTTTTACCCTGACTTTTTGTTATTGCCTTTTTTACTTCAATTGGTTTGAATGGATTTTGTCTGCAGCAGTGAGTCCTTGAGGGCACTCATAGTGTAGTCTGAAAGGAGTGAGACCCCTCTAAAAAAGGATACCTAAAAGGTGGACCTACTCCTCTAACCTAAGTCCTTCACTGACAATGCACACATGATTACTTCACCAAAGTTAGTGGATGGTGTAGTTCTTTACTAAATTAGGATTTATATTAGTTTTATATGTATTATATGAACTTTTTCTTAAAATCTTAATAAAGATCTATATGTACTACAGCAAAAAAAAAAAAAATAATAATTTAGACAGCATGTATAATATAGTATATAAAGCAAAATTTATTTAAATAAAATATAAATAATTAAATTAAAAAAAAATTTTCAATTTAAAAATATAAAATAAAAAACTTATAACAGAAAACTTTGTATATATATATAAGTAAATTTGATACTGCTGATATTAATGAAATATATAATATCTGATCTGGTATAAGGAATTCTATTAAATAGCTTTTAAAGATATTGTCTATAGAGCTTTTAATATAGTAAAAAACAATTTTGCTAAATTCTTTTAAGTAAAATGATCAACAATATTCAACCAATCAAAGATTTAAGATAATGTAACTGATATAGTAAGTTTTTAAATGATGCTAATCTACTAGATAATGAGTCAGATTTACTAGATATAATAATTTCTAATAACATAATATTACATCAATCATAATTAGTACAACTTTCTACTATAACAGAATTATTCATACCACCTATTATACCTTTAAGATGTAAGTGCAAGAAAAAAAATATTCAAAAAAAACAGAAATTACCAATTTTTTTATCAATAAAGTCAAATCAAAGTAAAAAAAATTTTACTTGCAAATTTGTTTTACTAATGACTTAAAGACTAATAGATTAATACTTAAATCTAAACTAATTTTTAAAAAAAAGGATAAGAAAATCAAAATTGTCAAAAGTACTAAAAAGAAGATATATAATAACAGGAATAGAATTTATATTTGCAAATATCAATAATATCATTATATATAATGTTTCTTTAATCTAAACTAATTTTATTTTGTTAAGTCACTTAGAAGTCTGAGACATTAAAATTATATGGCAAAAAAAATATATGACATTAGAATTAAGTTAAAGATAAATATACTATAAATAAAAATAGGTCTTCAATTAATTTCCAAAACTCATAATTAGTGTTCTAAACAGATTAGATCAATTCAAGTGACCCATCAAGTTGACCTGAAAATTTTGGGTAGGACATCAAATTTATGATCCGATCTCAAGTTAGGTCACAGTTTGACCTAATCCATTTGACCTGTTTAACCCATATATCAGAATTAATTAAAAATAATGTAATAAAGTCTTTTTTTAATAAAATATGTCAAATCTGGTATTTTTTCATTAAAAAATAAAAAACCTGAATTTTTTAAGTTTTTATTAAAAAAGATAATAAAAAAATGGGGTTTTTAATTAAAAACGTCAAACTTGACACTTTTACCATATACTTCTGATATTAAGCACCCTAAAAATAAGCATCCTTGACCAGAATTATGAAAATTTTGGCCTACGTTATGATGTTACTGGCCAGCATTACGGTCAAAAAAAGGGGTGCTTAATTTTGGAAGTATATGGTAGTTAAAAAAATAAAAAAAAAACATTTTTTTTAATGAAAAATATCTAATCTAATATTTTTTGTTTTTTTTAAAAAATAAACATCTTTTTTAATAAAAACATCTTTTTTAATGAAAACATCAAATCTGACATTTTTTAGTTAAAAAAAATAAAAAATGTTAAACCTGATGTTTATTTGTTAAAAAAATAAATTATATATAATAATTAATATTAAGAAAAAATGGTATAATGCCTTTTTTTATAATTTTACATGAAAAAATGTTAAAACATTTTTTATTAATAACTAATACAAAAAAAAATATTTCACCATTTTTTTTATAATTTTACATAAAAAAATGCTGAAATATTTTATCTTAATAGTACATTATATATATATATATACTGTATATAGCAGGCTACAGTACCCTGGGTCTGTCTCTTATACACATCTAGATGTGTATAAGAGACAGGTATATACATGTTGTCTAAATTNAAACATTTTTTATTAATAACTAATACAAAAAAAACGCTGAAACATTTTTCTTATTAGTAATGTAAAAAAAAATGGTTTAACATTTTTTTATAATTTTACATTATATATATATATATACTGTATATAGCCTGTCTCTTATACACATCTAGATGTGTATAAGAGACAGGTATATAGCAGGCTACAGTACCCTGGGTATTTTGCAAAAATCGGAAGTTTGACTCTGTATCAGGATCCTGAATAATACTAATATATATATTTTTTTTTTTGCTGCAGCGCATTTGATAATTTATTAAACAAATTATAATTCATAATTACATAAAGTAAAATATATAAAACTATATCTTATCTAATATTATTAATTATCAAATTACTCGTCATAATATAAAATTACCCCACATATGCACTGTCAGGTAGTTTTTTTAACTCAATAGGTGGACCATGTGAAATGGATTATTTTTAGCAAATGCTCTACTTTCTTAGTTAGGCTACCATAGGACCTATTATGATACGGATAAAAAAATCAAAAATTTTCTAATTCCAGCAAAAACAAAAATAAAAAGTAATTAAAATGCCTTAATAAACTTTTCGTGTATTCAAATTCAAATATACTTTACAAAGAGGTCCACATCTACATCGTAGGATCTACCTTACAGGCAAAAAAAGTGAGTACAGTCAGACTTCTATGTACCGATATCCTATGTACCAATAATTGCCTGTACTGATAAATTTTCTATATCCCATTTCACAATTAATAAAAAAATCTCGTTGTACCAATATTATATATGGTTTCACAATGTAACATGTATTGATACTTTTCTTTGCTCTTTTATAATTAATACATAATAAAATGTACTGATATTTTAAGTTACACTGGCATTAATTCAAGTCAATACTATGAATTTGGCCAGAATTAACATAAAGGTTCCATCCAAACTACATGATATTTTAATATATTAGCTATTCAGAGTTTATATAATGCTGGCAAGAATTGGATTTTAGCCCGCATTATGATTCACTGATGACAGTTATGTAACGATAATTTGATATACCGATATATTTTCTCCAAAATAACAGTATTAGTTAGTGTTTGTATCCGGATATAGCAAATCTGGTTGTATTGATAGATATTCAGTAAGAAGTAGGTATCTGGATAAAGGTTTTTTTGAGTTGACGTTATCCATATATAATTTTAGTCTAAACGGATCCTCCAGATATAAACCGTTAACCTATGTAATTTATCCAGAATTCCAGATATCCATTTATGTTAGCAGATCAATATATTTTAAGAAATATTAAATGCCAATCTGCACCAATATAGTAATAATTGTTTCAATATTCAATGTTTCACCACATGAATTACCAAGTAATAAAAATACTAAAACGCATTAAACCACTTTTATCTTGCTTATCGTCATTTGTAATACTTTATTTTCTAGTAAACGCTAAAATGATATTACTTCTTTTCCCTCTCCAAATGCGGCATCTACTCTCTCAGAACGACTGTTCTCAGACGTGGAAAATCTTTTAACTGTTAAGAGAACACGAATGAAACCTGAGTTATTTAGTTATGTTATGTTCTTAAAACGGAATAGTCACCATTTTGCTAATATTCACCCTCCAGCTCAACAAGTAACTGCTACTCCTATTGATGTTTAAACTATACCTTATATAAATTACACAAATAAATTCATATTTTGAGATAAATTTTTTTTTTTTTTATATTTACAAATTATTATACAATATTAAATGAATGATATATGCATAAATACAATAAATTATATTAAGTTCACAGATTTTATCCAGGTATAAACTCGCTAATGACCCGTTAGATATCCACAAAGATCATGGATTAATCCGGATAGATACCCGGATTTGTAAAAAATATTTTATCAGATAACCAGATTTGAAAATTCTTAACAGAGACGGATTTATTTATCCAGATGATATTCAGATACAAACACTAGTATCAGTATATAGAGGTCCGACTGTAGACTGATGTCCCTCTAGTCTTTTAGCTACTTTTTTATCATTTATCCTCATGTCGTGTAAATTAGGTCCATTATAAGTTGAAAAAGTTGATATTCGGTATTTGAGAAAGTCACCTATCATATAGATAAGTTTTCAATACTATAATATAACCATATTTACTGGAAGTCTTATTCTAAATCAAAAGAACCTATTAACCAACTAACCTATAAGCTCTATCTATTGTAATATTATAAGAAAAATGGAAAAAAATAGAAAAATAAAATAAAAGAAAAAAAATAAGAAAAATCGATTCCACAATAATGACAGAACTTTATCCCTATCTTTATTCTTTCAAGGTGTATAAGAGCAATTAAAAGTGAAGCCAAATGTCTTTATTAAAAGTTGTTTAAAGATAAATTAATATCGATTAATTCCACAATATCAGATAAAGATATGGCTGAACATTACACCGAAAAAATTTTTATATATCCAAAAATAGTTGTCTATTTCTGAGTTTAACTCAAAATGGAAGTTATTTTCTGAATCCAGTGTTTGTTGTTGATTAGCCAGCAAGTTCTGAAAAACATTTAAAAACGTGTTCAGTTTTAGATGTGTCATGATCCAAAAGTTATTAGATAGCGTCCTAATCGATAGACTTGTGACTTGGCAAATAGAGAAGGTTGGCAGAAGAAAGTAAATAATAGATGTCAAAAAAGGTTTCTCAAAGGTAATCTTTAGTAAATTGCTTAAGTTGTTGTGAAGCTATTACGTGTTTTGTGATAGCATCTTCCAGTATCTTAAAAAGTATCAGTCTGTTGGTATAAAGGTGGTTTTGTTGTAAAAATGTGACAAAGTCTTTAGTAATGAGGCTTTCATCATAAATTCTTTCTATATTCTAAAAATTACTATCTTAATAGTTTTAAAATTATATATTAGTCTTCATAATAGTATTGCTTAAATTAGTTTTTTCTTTACACGTTCTGTTCTTTAGTTTTCCTTCTGATGCACTTTCAGTCCAACGTTTTTTGTCATCTGCCTCTACATCAAGGATTTTTACTTAGATTAAAAAATAAAAGATTACTAATACTAAAGAAAAAAGTGTTTATTACAATAAAGTTTATGAAAAATAAATGAAAGCTTAAAGAAAATAATATATAAAAATGAAAAAATAAAAAATTAATTAGTTGTAAAAAAATGGTCATAGATGTGACCAGAAAGAGTTTATCCTCCAATAATACTAATATAATTTACAAGTAAATTTTAAGTACTAAGGTAAAAATACATTTTATGACATAATTCTGTCAATATTGAAGCTAGAAATTCGATTTTACTATCATTAGAATCCTCTTATCAAGACGAATCTAATGATATAAATTTTATTAAAATCAAATCACTGGTTGTGTTAAAAATAGGGATATGTAGGATAACAAAATTTTGAAAATACCTCTATAATACACAACTTTTAAAAAATTTTAATATAAACTCTATGCAAACTCAAATATAAGTTATATCAGTATTATTCAGGATCCTTCTAGGCTCCTATACTCCTGGGTACTAAAAGGACCCTGCTTACTTATAATAAAGATCACCGTAGAAAATTAGCCTTTTACTAATAGTTTTTACCTTACTTTTTTCTTAAATTCTATTGGTTAATTAGCTAAAAAGAAAAAAAATCATAACAATGTAATATAAAATTTTTTTTATAGTAGGATCTGCAAAGAATTTTATATATGATTTTTACCTTAGACCTGAAGGTAACCTATCTTATAAGTAAGCAGGGTCCTGTACTAAATAAAATCTAAAAATTCCATTTTTTTCAAATATCTCACGATCTACTAGTCCAATTTGAATGATCTTTTTTTATTTTGAAGAGTTCAATAAGAGCTATCAAACAAAAAAAAAATGGCTCAAATCTGATTACTGGATCACAAGATAATTGTAAAATATTCCCAGGTACTATACAATTCTATGAAATTTTTCAAGAGGGGTACTATTACAGGTCAAAAAGTGAAAAATCAGGTATTAATCAGTCACCAATCGGTATTTTGCCAAATACTGTTCCCAATCAGGCAGTTTGCTAATTTTTGATTCAGTAATCAGAAAAGGATGAGATATAGCTCATTGAAATCATCTCAATAAGATGAATCTAATGGTAGTAAAATCACATTTTTAGGATTAATAGTTAATAAAAAATTAAATAAAATATAAATGATACATTTTTATTTTTATATTTTACTTAATTTCTCATCAAATATTAATCCTAGAAATGCAATTTTACTACCATTAGATTTGTCTTATTGAGACGATTTCAATAAGCTATATTTCATTCTTTCCTGATCACTGGATCAAAAGTTAGCAAACTGCCTGATTGGTGACTGATTAATGCCTGATTTTTCACTTTTTGACCTATATATGCATAAGTAGTGTTCTGAACAGGTTGGATCAGATCGGGTGATCCATATTACTCAATCTGACAAAAAAAATCAGGTTAGGTCAGATCAGGTAACCCGTCTTATCTGATCTGACCTATTTGACCTATTTGACCTGTATATCAAAATGACTAAAAAATAAAAAAACTCCAGGATTTTTAATTGAAAACGTTAAACCTGACGTTTTTAGTTAAAGAAAGTTTTTTTAATAAAAAATGACGTTTTTTGGTTAAAAAAAATAAAAAACGCCAAACTTGACATTTTTCTGTTAAAAAAGTAATATTTTGGTTTTTTTTTAATAATATGAAAAAATGCTGAAACATTTTTTCTTAATAGCATTGTAAAAAAAAATGTTTTCAGCATTTTTTTTTTGATATTATTATATGAAAAATGCTGAAACATTTTTTCTTAATAACTAATACAAAAAAAAAAATGGTTTCAGCATTTTTTTTTAATATAATTTATATGAAACGTTTTTTCTTAATAATTAATATAAAAAAAACGTTTTGGCATTTTTTTTTTGATATTATTATATGAAAAAATGCTGAAACATTTTTTCTTAATAATAATGCAAAAAAAACGTTTCAGCATTTTTTTTTAATAATTTTATATGAAAAAATGCTGAAACATTTTTTCTTAATAATAATGCAAAAAAAAAACATTTTGGCATTTTTTTTTTAATAATTTTATATGAAAAAATGCCAAAACATTTTTTTTTAATAATAATGCAAAAAAAAATGTTTCACATTTTTTCTATAATAATTAATACAAAAAAAACATTTTGGCATTTTTTTTTTAATAATTTTATATGAAAAAAATGCCAAAAAGTTTTTTCTTAATAATAATGCAAAAAAAACATTTTATGTTTTTTTTAATAATTTTATATGAAAAAATGCCAGAAATGTTTTTTTTATAATAAGGGTAATGATAGATATTACTTAATATCAGTTTATTATAAGAGTTTACCCTTCTCCTCCAGATAAGATATATTATATATATAATTTTCTTATATAGTATATATGTAATCTAAGTTTCAATTAGAGATCCTGGGCGAAACTGAAATATTTAGTCATTTGACTAAACCAAAATAGTTTAGACATTTAAAATTAAAAGACGAAATGCCGAAATTCAATATTCTATAGTATTTCCATAGATTTTTTGTAGATTTCCATGAATTTTTAATTATAATAATTACTTATAAAAAAAAATAATAATAAATTTATATTAAAATATAATATTTTTTAAAGGAATTTATAAAACTATTATATATATATTATAATTTCATATATTTTTATAATAAAACTATATTTTATATAATTAAAATTTAAACTTAAAAATTATTACTATATAGTTTAGTCAATGACGAAACTGAAACTGGTTGGTGACGAAACCAAAATTTTTGGTAAAAAGAGTTTAACCAGGTATCACTAGTTTCAATTACCCCCCTTCTTCTAGAATATTAGGTAATATTTGTCACTACCCTAATTAATACAAAAAAATGGTTCAGCATTTTTTTTCTAATAATTTTATATGAAAAAATGCGGAAACATTTTTTCTTAATAGTAATGCAATAAAAAAACGTTTTTGGCATTTTTTTTTTACATATTTGACCTATCTAACCAAAAATATTATGTCAGGTCAAATGGGTCAATGGGTCAGGTCAAACTGTGACCTGACCTAAGGTCAAGTTATGAATTTGATGACCTGACCCAAAATTTTTGGATCAACCTGACTAAAGTTGCTTGCTGAAACTAGAGGGTTTTGGCAGAATGGCGTACATGAAACTGCCGAAACTAGTTTTGCGAAATCATTAAGAAATGCCGAAACTGCAAAACTTATTAAAATTGCGAAATTGCCGTAACTTGCCAAAACTGTTTCAGCGTTTCAGCGCAATATATCATATGATATACATATAGTTTTGACATCAGTATCAGTCAAGTAACTTACTGATCTGATCAGTTTATCAATCTGACAATCTGATTGGTTGGTCATAATTTTAAAAAAAAAGTCTTAAAAAAAATAAGGCTTTTATTATTTATTTTTTTTTCTGTTCTTCTGTGGATTCTGTTAAAACGAACTAAGAACAGCCTTCTGGATGAGTTTCGGCAAATTTAAGTAAGCTGAGTTTGTTCTTTTAGTCCTTCCTTAGAGTGAAGCATGCGGTATGTTAAGTTTGGGTGGATGTATAATATTAAATGGCGTTATAAAACAATACTCACGAACTCATTTTTTATTTTTTTAGATTTCCAGCTTTTTCTTGAAGGAAATATGTGGTAAGTGAAATTTGGGTGGGTGAATAATATTAAATGGTGTATAAAACAATACTAACAAACTCATTTTTTATTTTTTTTAGATTTCCAGCTTTCTCTTGAAGTGGAATATGTGGCAAGTGAAGTTTGGATGGGTGTATAATATGAAATAGCGTTATAAAACAACACTAATGACATTCCTTTTTATTTTTTTAGATTTCTGGCTTTCTCTTGAAGCAGAATATGCGAGTAGGTATTTGGGTGGGTGTATAGTTGCGTAATGGGGTTATAAAATAACACTAACTCCATTCTGCTTTCATTTTTAGATTTTCAACTTTCTCTTGAAGTATGTGGGTAGGTGTTATTTGGGTGGTGTGTAGTTGTATAATTGGAAACATTAACGCCATTTTTCTTTTATTTTTAGGTAAAGATGTGGTGTGTTTTTAATATTAAAGAAATGTAGGCTTTGAATGTAAGTTAGAGGGATTGAGGGAGGAGAGAAGTATTTCTTAAAATTTTAAAGAAACATATTAATGTTTCTTTCTTTGTTTTATTTTTTTAGGTTGTCGGACTTTTGGATGATGGGAAGTTATACTTAATTGCGTCAAAAAAATATATATGTTTTTTCACTTTTAGGACATGAACTTAAAGGCATATCATTGATTAGAAATTTTTATTGTTATTACAATAAAATAAAAATATTACAAATAATAATACAATAAAACAATAAAACAGAATATATCAATATTTTTTAATTATGTGTAAATGTGTAAATGAAGATATAAGGAATGCTGAAACTATGCTGAAACTTATATAAAATATTACTATTTATTATGCCGAAACTATGGATAAATGAGGTTTTGCAGTTTTGGCAGTTTTGCAGTTTTGCAGTTTTGGCAGGTTTTGGCATTTTGGCATTTGGCATTTCACCACTATATAAGAGTTTCAGCATTTTGTGTTGGGCCAGATGGGTTTCGGCAAGCAACCTTAAACCTAACAGATTACTTAAATTGATCTGACCTGTTCAGAACACTATACATAAGGGGTACTATAGTTCACAATATATGATATATGATATATATATATATATATGAAAAAATGCCAAAACATTTTTTCTTAATAATAATGCATCAGCATTTTTTTTTTAATATTATTATATGAAAAATTACCAAAATGTCTTTCTTATTAGTTAGTAATACAAAAAAAATATTTTAACATTTTTTTTATAATTTTACATGAAAAAATGCTAAAACATTTTTTTTTACATATTTGATTCATTTAACCAGAAATATAATATCAGGTTAAACAGGTTAAATAGGTCAGGTCAGGTAAGATGGGTTATTTGACCTGATCTGACCTGATTTTTTTTGTCAAATCAAATAAGACAAATTACCTAATCTAATCCAATCTGTTTAGAATACTACTTAAGAATAAAAATGCATAATTAAAACAGATTATTGAAGAAAATGCTAGGTATGATGCTGAGAATACTGAATACAAGATTAGAATCAAGGAATTGGAGAAACATAATGCAAATATTTTAGCTGAGAATGTTGAGCTTAAAGCTGAATTAGCCAAATTAAAATATGATTTTGATTTATCCAACTTCATAAAATCTCAGCAAGCTTAATACATCACTAATATGCAGAATTCATACTTTGTTAAAAAAAAAAGAGATTTCAGAGTTAACAGCTAACATTTTACAAGGTATACTTGATTCTATAATAGACCAAAGTTCATTTTGTAAACAATACATAGCTGATAATGCAAATATAAAATCATCAAAAGATAAGAAAACAAATTCTTTTTTAGATGAACATATGAAATGTATAAGAAAAAGATTAGTAATGAAATTAGACAAAGGAGGTGGGAGAAAAAACTTCAAAAAGATTTAGAAACATTTGTAGTCTTTCAAAATTTCTTTACTAACTTAAACGAAAAAATGGACAAGAGTTGATTTGAAAAATGTCTTTTTCCATATCTGGTTTTTCTGAGATCTTTTTATCTAAAGAAAAGATATCAGAGGTGGTTGCAAAACAATTGGTATCAAATTATATGACTAAAATTTCTGAGATCACATGGTCCCAGAAATCTGATATATTACCACTCTATGGAGCCAATATGATAGAAATATCTCAGTATTTGACCTAGTTGTATAATAAAATGCTTATTATAGAAAAGTACACATTGAAAGCAAATCAAAAAGAGATATTTTGCTGGTATTACTATAGAAGAAATTTTGTAATTTTGTGTAATAAAAATAAAATTGGTAAAAAAAAGGCAAGAGGTCTAATATACAATGAAGTTATAAAGCAAGTTAATATTCTTTATAAGAAAAATCTTAAGATACAGGACATTACTCCCAGACATATCAAGAGATAGTTTGCACAAAAAAACCCAAAGAGCTGAGAAGATCTACAAACTTCTCAAAAAAATAGGATTAGATAAAATCCAATATATCAAGTCATATAGTTCGAATGAAATATCAAAGTTTACTAATGATGAAATCTAAAAGACTATGAATCATTTTTCAAATAAGTTTAGTATAGATTTAAGCAATAACCAGAATAATTCAGATAAGACGAAAAGTAGTAAAGTAGGGCCAGTGTGTTGAGTAAAGTATTGTAATGTTTAGTGATGTGTAAGTGTGTAATATAAAGGCATGAACTATACTCAAGTGATGAATAGACATCCGGCTAAACTGCTGGACCAAGTTTGGGCTAAGATGTTTATTTATCATTTGAGTATACAGTCAACTCCCTCTATAGTTACTTCCGTTATAGTCACATTCTACTATATAGTCACACCAGTTGAATGTTCAAAACACTTTATTATTAAAATCTATCCTATATAGTCACAATCTATCTATAGTCACTATCACACCTATCCTCAAAAATCTTATATTAAAAAGAACCGTTTATAATCACAGTTATATAAAGAATATATTAAATAATTTGCATCTAATAATCGTACAAAGATGTATCATAGCTTATTAGAATTGTCTCACTGAGACGAATCGAATGGTAGTAGTTTTATCCTTTTCCTGTGTAAACAGTCTTATGACTTTATCTTTTATTTATATTTTAACCTTTGAAAATATAATCGAACAATATTATAAAAATAAGAAAATAAACTAATAAAAAATAAAAAGAGTAGCTTCACGACTCATACAAGTAAAGAAATCTAAACTAAAATAAAATTAAAGCAAAGAAAAAACATAACTATTACAGAATCGCATACCCCAACTTTACCCGAAGGCCAGTGTGAGTTAACTATCCAACATCCAAAAATCCAGTCCGTTACCAGAAAGAAATCCTAAGAGGTTGAACTGTTAAGTGGCGCAGAAAATCCAAGTGCGAGATCCATGATCCAACCCGAATTATAGAAGAGGATATCCAAAAAATCCAGGAATCCTGAGAAACCGTCACCAAAGAAGAGTTGTGAAGTTGTGAAGAAATTGTAATAAAAGAAGAATTTGAAGATGGGCCACGTAATTTGGAAGCAGCTGAGATACCCTGTGACTCTTCCCAAGCATGGAAAAGAACATTCCGACATAACCAAATTTTACCATATAGTTCGACTTGGAAGTCATTAAGAAGAGGAGAAATAGTTTTGTATATAACAGAAAGAGGAAAATACTGCTTTAGGAATGTCATTAAATGCGCAGGCAGCAATCCTCTAGTAAGCTAAAGACAAGACAGAGAAGGAGTTTTATAATCCCAACAATTTAAAGTAGAGAATCCAATTTGAAAGGAAGTAACCAAAGACTTCAAGGATAAAAAGGAAGATAAACAAGAGTCTCTAAATTTGATGACTTCAGAACGGTATGTTAGACATGGATTAAGATCAGGAAGAATATAAGGACAAGTTCAAAGATGATTCAAATCTTCAGGAGCAGAATTACACTGTGGACAGAGCCAATCCAGGGAGTATAAATAAGGTATGCGTTGTTGTAGAGTAGTCAAAGTAGGCAACATATCTAAAAGAAGTTTGATACAGAAGATCTAAAATTCAGGACGACCATTCTTATGCGAAGCGAAAACTTTAATCTGTGAAAGGCAAAAGTGTATACCAGCCCAGTCAAAAAGTGCAGGGGAGCCAAATGCAGTAAATCGCGCCATTGAGCAAAATGATAAAAGAGCACGAGCATCCACTATAAAGCGAAAAAAATGACGAATATTCATGTCAATGGCAAAGAATTAAAGGTCAACAGACATGGAGTGTGACAAAACGCTAAAGGTGAAAAAGTAGGTTGTAAATATGAATGAGCATAGAGCTCCGCACGGGTCGGGTCGGGTCGGGTTACCTGGTTAACCCGAACCGAAATTTTTTTCAGGTCAGGTCGGGTCGGGTAAACCGTTCTGACCCAACCTGACCCATTTGACCCGAAAGTATTCGGGTCACTTCGGGTAACTCAGGTTACCCGAAGTTTTATTATTAAATATTTCAATTAAAAAAACGTTTTGTAACGTTTTTTTTTTATTAATTATACAAAAAACGTCAGGTTCGACGTTTTTAATTAAAAAAAAAGATTTTTTTAATTTTTATTGAAAAAACGTCGGGTCCCGGCGTTTTACTTTTGTTTTTATATATAAAAACGCCGAAACTATTTGTTTCGGCATTTTTGTTTCGATCTTAGATGTAAAAACGCCGGAATCATTAGTTCCGGCGTTTTTCATTTTGATTTTACATGTAAAAACGCCGGAATCATTAGTTCCGGCGTTTTTCATTTTTATTTTACATGTAAAAACACCGAAACTATTAGTTCCGGCGTTATTTTTTTCAATTTTACATGTAAAAACGCCGGAATCATTAGTTTCGGCGTTTTTCATTTTGATTTTACATGTAAAAACGCCAGAACTATTAGTTTCGGTGTTTTTAATTTATTTGACCCAAATATATGTCGGGTCAACGGGTCGGGTCGGGTACCGACTAGCACTGACCCGACCCGTGTCAGGTCATGAATTTGATGACCTGACCTGAATATTTCGGGTCAACCCGTCGGGTCACCCGATCTGTCAGGTCAGGTTGCGGAGCTCTAAATGAGCATCTTTTGCCAAAGAATCCGCTTGTATATTGTAAATATCAGCGCCATGAGCAGGGACTTTAATCAAATTGACTTTAAGGTTACGATCTATGATAAGTTATCGAATGGAAAGCTAAAGAAGATGATTGGGTTCACGAAGCAACTTTGGTGAGAAAGGAATATTGACAAAACGTGTCCATAGCGAGATGAGTTGACTACAATCAGTATAAATTGAAATTGAAGAGCCATGGGAGAGAGCCTTTAATCCTAATACGACTGCATAGATTTCAGAACGCAAGGCTGAAGAAAAGCATGAAGGGAGGCATAAAGATGAAGAGTCAAGTATAAATTCATCATCATCAAGAGCAAGCCAAGCACAAGTCATAGAAGGAGGAGAAGAATCCGTGGCAGAAAAGAATGAACCATCAGTATACAAAGTATGCACAGAAAGAGGCAAAACATCATCTTCTATCCTTATTGTCAAAAGAGAAGAAGTGGTAGGAGAAGTAGGCAAGGACAAGTTTGACAAATGTATAAGAGCCAGAGAAGTAGCATAACTCCATGAGGTAGATAAAGTTATAGGAAGATAAGTCGCAAATACTTTAGCATTTCTGGTAGGATATCCCACCGTTTCAGATAAATTGACATTAAAAAAACATTTTTCGCTATTACAGCGCAGTTTAATTGCAGATTTCTTGGATAGAGCAGGTAAATTAAGAGAACAACCAGGGCAATGATTGTAGGATCGTTCATCGGCCAAAGTAAATACAGGAAGCCAATGAGACATGATAGCAGAGTTTTGTTTCTTGTAAGTGATACAGACACAGCCAACAGATAAAGTTTGGGTAGCAGATTCAAAATTAATAGCCCATTGAAGATAAAAATAATAATCCTTAACAGAAAGTAAAAGAAGAATTAATAAAATACAAAGGCAAAAATAAAGAAGAAAAAGAAGAAGAAAGAAAATTATTTTTAATAAAATTAAACCAAATAGGGATTCATCCTTTACGACCAACAATACCAAGGTAACAAAGATCAAACCAATTCATAAGATAACGTCCACAAGGGGAAGCCAATTGGGCAAGCGTAAAAATATTTAAATTTTTTCAGAGTTTCCAAGTAGCCTAAAAAATCGAATGTGGTAAAATGGATCAGAGCGATAAAGCTGATTGTAGATCCCGTCTCAGAGGTCGAAAAGGAAGAGACCACGTGATATTCAATCGCGAAGAAAATAAAATTGAGTTAAACAATAAAGTATGTGTTCGGAGAGAAACAATCTGAGACTAAAGTTCCAAACTAATAGTAATCGGGCAGCTTTCAGCGCTCAAATATCCTTGAAGATAAGAAATAGCATAAAAAGCAAAATTCCTAAAATCAGGATGTGTAAATATTTTTTGCCAAAATGCAATGTGGGAAGAGAGGAACCAGTAAAAGGCATTTTGAATCGAAAAAGGAGTTTAAGAAATAACAAGGCCAATGGAGTAGTAACGGCAAGTCCAGCTTTTTTTCGTAAAACTGAGAACATGAGTTTAATAATCGATTGAATTGTACTTTCTGAGAAAAGAGTAGTTTGCAAATGAAATTCCAATTTCGGGAGAAGAACA